TTGCTTGCCGCCGTGGTGGTGGTGGTGGTGGCGGTGGGGAGGAGGTGATGAGGGCTACGACAGCTTCATTGTTAGCCTCTTCAGGATACATCAAAGACATGTCAGTTAGCCCCTTCAAGTCTCACTCTGGCAACCTCCTCGCACTGTCTTGTTACTAGGCTTTCATCTGTTTACAGTCCCAGTGATATGCGCACCCACCTATGCAGTTTACACTTACCGTCTAACAGTTGCATAAACAAGTGGCTCACTTCATTCAACCTTTGGTTAACTCATGTCTGCATTGAATTTTTTGTCTGCGGTGGTAAGGCCTTTACCACTGTGGTATCCTACACATGGAAAAGGCTTTCGTGTCTCCTCAATCACCCTTAAGCAATCGGTGGCATTTTTGTGACACACAGCAACAGGTAGCAGAAAACCACGTGGGACCGATGGTATGTGCGAGTTGTGGAGTTGCTCAGCAGAAATGAAGCTGCACTAAGCACAGCATTTTCACACAATTCGCAGCCTAGTTTGTGCATGCGTGTTTGAGATGCCTTGTGGATACAAGTGTTAACGTGGCGACGTTCAAACGACCAGAGCTGAGGCCGATCGACGGATTAAAGATAATTGCTATTCTACGCACACTGTGATTGAATCACGCACCTCCTGAAGTTCGTAATCGCGAGGTCGTGTCAGTGCATTGGAAGACAAGGGGTCATCCTTTTTTGCAATCGCGGTGAAAGTCGAGCATGATGACAAGGGAGGACCTCGGAGAGGAGAATCAAGGTGTTTGCTGAAAGAGTTGAAGGGATTGGTGCGATTGCTCGTAAGCCGATCGATGAGCACAACAGCAGTGAAGACAAGAGTGTGGGAGTGGGAATGCATTTTGAAGCCGAAGAAAGTCAATGAACTACTGCAATGCAACATAAATGATGGACTGCTTTGAGTATATGACCCTGCTAATGCAGTGGAAAAGTAGGTTGTGTTGCTGTTCCAGCACTAAGACGCTGTGACTGTAGATGTGACCAAGTTGGATGTATGCAAAGTGAGAGGTTGATAAAGTGGTTGACTCCTACTATGCTTGACTGGAAGTTGGAGACTGTTGCGAATTTGCATGTAGGCGACTGTTGCGCAACCGCAATTCGCAACTGTGTGATGGAAGAAATTTATGATGTGTTCGAAGACTTATGGCAGCTTTAGTCCCTCTTGCTGCACGTATTGTGTGCTTAACTTGCCCTTTGTAGATGAGAGACGAGAAATCGTTTTTAACGCCATTCTGGAGGGTTCACACTGAGACGCTTCAAGTTTCACAAGTCCTATGCTACCTGAGATAGTCAAAGTCATGTCTTGTGACTCATAGCCTCATGTGAATGCCGGATAAGGATGACCTACAAAGCACGTTATCTTTGTCTGGGCAAGGTGGCAAGCACGCTACTGCGTATTGTCGATAACTAGGCAAACCTACCCATCTGGCGATCACGAGCTGCGTATGTCACAGCAGTGTCACACAGGCACCCCAAAAATATTAGGCTAATCTAAGCTTTTCGAATATTATGATCAATGTTTCCGCTTCTCATCTCATCTCATCTCCTCTCCTCTCCTTTTCTTCATCCTCCACTTTCAGTGGCTATGAACAATGGTTGCATGTGGGCTGTGCACATGTGCAGCTCACAAAGAAGACCAAACATTAAGTGTCTCGATTTGGGAGAGAAATAATCCTTAAAGCTGTCAGTCGCCCGTTGCAATCAGTCTTGTAAGTGGCTTTGTAGCTAATGCATTACACTACAGGCACCGGTAGATAGACGATTAGACAATTACCGTCGAACTTGCCAATAACAGCTCGTTATCCGTCGACGTAGCGGATTGTAGCTTCGTTTGTCCAAACGTCAAGTTGTGAGAACAATTATTTCATAACAGCGAAAGTCCCTGCTCTGACGTCTGACTAACTTGCTGCGGCATCTGCTCATCAGCGATCATTAAAAGGCGCCTTTCAAGGCACTACTGCTTACTTTAGTCGTAGTCGCAATACTTGCCTACCTTTAATTAAATATAAACTAGCCTAAACGTAAACTGTCTGCTTGTTGCGTACAAGATGCTGTTCATTAAAGCTTCGTATTAGGCAAGTTAGCTGAATATGTAAATCGTGCTCATGAAATTAGTTTTAACTGCCATCTGACCTTGCGCGTTGGTTGGTAATTTGTTATTCGAAGTGTTCTCTGTATTGGGCATGGTTTCGGCGCGTGTTCAGGACTCGTATCAAGCCTGGCGCAATTATGTTGCGTTTTGGTGTTTTGGGCTGTTCAACAACTTCAATTACGTTGTCATGCTGAGTTCGGCCGTTGATATTTTGGGAAGGGGCACCGCGAAAGTGCGTGGAAATTGCATCCTGTGCTTTCTTCCTTGCATCAATCACCCGATTTTGGATGGTTTAGTTGATTTATCTCTAATTTTTTGGGTGGCTGGAATCTGTGTTGCAGGCTTTTTGCCCTGGATCCTCTCATTCCACTTGGTTTTTGCTACCGAAAGTAAAGGTTTCATGTCGTATTCACCTATTCTCCGATTACAAAGCAAGTAGTCACTCTTCTGCACCTCCTTAATTTTGTCTGATAGTGTCTGTTCGTGCGTTGTCTCCGGCTGCTCTTACTTGCTTCGTGCAGTGGACGTTTGTTGAACGTTGTAGGGCTCTGATCGCGATGCTGACTGGCAAGACTACTTTAATTGCACAGGGGTAGGAACCGGTGTAAGTGGCATTTCCTTTGCTTTTAATGTTCGCTCTTTTGTGTAGACCGTCCTTTTGGCCGATATCGGACCCAGTCTCTTGCTCAAACTTTTAGCTCCTTTTTTTATTCAGCGATTGCACTTTCAGTACGTACCTTATTTATCCGCTTTCCTGTTTGTTCATTGAGCCGATAATGAGTTGGTTTCTTTTTGCCTTAGTCTTAAGGTCAGCCTCTCTGCATTCTTCTCACTCTCTGCGTTTCTCATCGTCTCTTGCTCCACCTCGATCGCACTTAGCCTTTTTGGTAAGGAAGTAACGAAGCGGTTGCATTCTTTTTCGACTGGCAACGTGGGCATACGGCAACGTCCAAACTTCAGTTTGGTGGAACTTAGTGCAACTTACTCTCCTTGTTTCAGGCGTCGTTTGTGCGAGTGTATCCTGTGGTTTGGGTGATGTCACCTTCCTTACTATGGTCGCGTTCTTTGACACGTAAGTTAGCCTTCTGTAGGAATGCTCCATTTTGTGATTTCCCTACACTGTGAAGGTGTGGTTGTTAAATTAAAGCGCGCAATCTGTTTATTGGTAGTGTTATGAGGTGTCGAATCGTTTAATTGCTAGTGTGTTTGCGTATTAACTTATGACCCGCCGGTTAATTTTAGCACTCCCGCCGTTACACCGTCTGAGTATGTTAAGTACGTCGAGACCAATGGAAAGTCGAGTTATCGTGGTGCCTTGTGTTGGTCTAGGGTTTCTGCAGCTTCTTGCGGCAAGTGCTTTTTACAGTCTTTGAGGTCACCAGTAGAAACACGATTGTTAGTGGAGTTGTGGGTCTATAGCTTGTGTATTGTGACCAACCATTTTCTTATCAAAGCTGTATCCAATGGCTCTCAACCTATCATATCTGTCGGCTAGTCCCTCCCGGCGAAGTGGATACCGGTCATGTGTTTAGGGTTGTTTGATGCAGCTGTCCTCCTCTGTCTCGGTAGCCTCATGCCTGCTAGAAAATATCTACTCGCTATTAGCTATCATCGATCCCCGCTTCGGTGAATCGGAGCATGTGGTGAGTTCAAATGGTACCTTGTGGAGAAAGCTTTTAAATTGCTTTCTGAGTCCCTTTTTCGAAGTAACGAGGTCATTTGTCGGCCATGTGGCTTGTCAATGATGCATTATTTGCGCGTTGGGGAGGCACTAAAGTTAGATTGTATTGCCACCTCTCAAGGACTCTCGGCTTTTCATCGGTCGGACTTAGAAAATGACTTGGATGAGCAGAAAATATAGGCAAATAACTGATTCTTGCTTGAAGTTAGTGATGAAAGGCAAATGGTAGAATCGCATTGTGATTTGGGAGTAGTGAAGAACTTTTGAAGCTATAATTTTGTCTATACTTTGAAGACTTTTGGGTGGAGTTGCGTGAAGTTAACTGGACTAGCAATGAATAGGGTAGTATGGAAAAGGGCTTAGTGGAATGTGAGAGGGGATGTATATATTTTACAGAATGCGGAACATGAGGTCAGAGGGGTGTAAACTGTAGTGTCTTTGCTGCAGCTACATTTCTGCAGTGCCTACCATGGCAATGTTTAGATGCTATGGAACAACTTTGCACGGTGGGTGTCGTTGGCGCGGTGAAATCATTTCAGGGTGGCTTGAGTCGCCTTAACAGCGGAGTGGAAAGGTACCTATTATGGGTGAACTCCTCGAAAATCCCAATTGTCTTGGCTACTCGTCTTATGGTCATTGAAATGCATTTTGTGCCACTACATGACGTACTTGGGTGAGTGCACGAACTGATTGTCACTGTTGCCTACTCCGTTGAGTGGCGGTGTCAGGGCTTGGACGGAGTTAATCCATTGGAAGCGGGTCAGCCGACTTCAACGTCTCTAGTGTCCTGATCTTGGTAATGCTAATCGAGAGGGAGATTTTGTTCCTCTGCTTCCCTAAACTTACTCCCTTTGCCTTTTCTCACCAAACATGGCATTCTCTTGTAAATATGTCGCTGTAACTCCGTATGTTGGAGATGAAGCCTTGCTGCAGAGGTGTGCTCGTTTGACTTTTGTAATGTGTGTGACCGAAAGGCGAGCCTAATACGGTTTAGCAGCAATTCCCCTTCCTTTGAGTGTACTCGAAAGGAGGCATGAAGTGAACACCCATTTTAGATTTGTGATCGAGCTCACAATGAAAGCACCTTGACTTTGTGTTTTTCTGATGGATGGTTTGACAGGTGAATGCCATGTCAGGTGAGAAAAGGAAAAGGAAGTGGAGACATGGCTGGGGGTAAGTGGAAGGCGGTTAGAGGTAAGGTGTCGTCCCAGTACGTAGTCTTCCTGTAATCATTAGCAGAACTACAACCTCCTTATCTGTCCTTTTTCTTGAAGTGGCGTTCTTGCCTCGTGGTCGTCAGGATCAGGCGGCGCGGGCATCGTTGGTGCGCTGGTGTACGCAGCACTGACGGCTATTTTTTCTCCAGAGGCCACTCTCCTTGTCATCACCATTGTGCCCTTGGGGATGCTTTTCATGTGAGTTTCTTTTTTTTAGTAAAATAATCATTTGTAGGTGGGGCGACTGGTAGTGTGGGGAGAGTCGTCATCACTCTATCCAACAGTCTCATAAGTTCACCTGACTTTGGGTGATCCATTGCAAGCGTATTGGGAATAAATTTGGATGGTGTTGGACGCTCCAGGTGGTTTCACCAAAACATTCATGGGAAGCAAAATGTTGAAGCTGGAGAACCGTTAAGAACAGCGACATCGCCGACATGATTGCCATCGTGTTTGTCGCAGGCTCATTCAGGTCAGCGGTGGCAGGCTCTGATCATGCGTAGAGCATGCGTCGTTCAACTTGATTGCGCAAATGGTCACATATTACCGCCCAATGCATCCCACCTGTTGGCGGGATGATCCACGCATTCGAGCTTGTGGGTTTTAGCGTTGTTGAGCAATGCTAGAGGCTTCAAAAAAATCGGAGTGTTACAGCGTCTTGCATCTCATGGTAGCAATGAGAGCGACTTTTTTGTGGGAATAATTTCCACAGCGCAGTATTGGTGGCCTTCTAAACGGATGATTGCAGACCAACAAACAGTTGTGCTATTTAAACGTACTTTCAACAAGCTGGCTTTTGAACATGCTTACCTCCGAGAGAGGCATCTGCCTATCACTTCGCAGTTCCATCTTAGTTGAGGGGCAATGGCAGTGAGTTGGAGGCGGTGAATGTATGTGTCGCAGACGTACCACAAACCTGCAAATTGTGGCGACAACACAAATTTTCGTGTGCGCAATGAGGTGTGCAAAGTCGTGCAGAAACAAAGCGATTTGTGTTTGTTTAACGGAACGGTGGTAGATTGGAGGTTTTTCAAAAGTTGCTACTCCTCTCCACGGAGAGAGGAGAAGGGGATCACGGCTTAAACGCCATGTTATGATGTTCTGTAATGCCTTGAATGCTGTGGGTTTACGGAGTGTGTGTGGATGCTACGGCGCAGGAACAAGGCACCTGCTACTGTAGGCAACACTTACTGTTGCGTGCGCCAGCACCTCATGTGACTTGGTGTTTTGGAGTGAAAGTAGCCTGACCACATGCAACTGGTGAGTTTGGTGGTGTTGAGTGGTGGCGTGTAAATGTGGAACGTGCCGCTTTAAGCATTCAGTTGAAGGCATCCGCTCCCGTGAGGCCATCTTCAAGTATGATTATCCGATAGGTGTCACTGTCGTTTGTAAAGGGAGGTAGGTTGTATAAGGAAAGGGGAGTAATACGGTGATAGGACGGTAGAATGACAAACAAGAGGAAAGTGGTGTGAAGTGTGCGAAAAGGTGTTTATTTTACGACTGCTTACAAGCTGTAACATCAAAGAAGTTGCACATTGCAGAACCCCATAAGTTAGGGTTTTCATGGGCACGAGGAGTGGAATATTCACATATATCTGATACGACGGAGGTAAGGAGAAGGAGACATGGTTGATGAGCTACGCTGATAAGGGATCTGAAATCTGTACATTTAAGAGGAGGGTCAAAAGGGTGACAAGAGCAATGCAATCCATTGGGATGTGGTTATGAGGACTTGCCTTGGATCGAATTCTGAGGATGTCGTCCATCCATCTGTGCCACTTTCTTCGACAGTCCGAAGCATCAAATTGCATTGATGTGCATAGATGGGCAGTCGACGGGGTATCATTGCATTACAGCTACTTCGTACTCTTGAAAAAGCCATCGACTCCGGCCTTTCAACTGTCTCGTCACAATCAGTCTCACTCGTCGGCTGCAATTATAGAAGAAAGCAGTGATGATGTTCTTGAGCCTGCTAGTGAGTAATTCGCCCTAACACCGGTAACTTCAAGGTTAGTCACGTTGTTCCAATGGTTTTTGTTTTCATTGTTTCAGATGAAGATGCTAAAGTTGGCGAAACGCATAATGCGATGGGGGAGACCGGTGGTGCCCAAATTGTACTTGATTGGAACACGAAAAAAGAAGTAATTTGGGTGCGTTCACTATTGATAAGAGCCAAAACAAGTCACCGTGCCCGCGTTATTCTATGCTATGCTAAACAGTTGATTGTGGAAGACTTGACTTGACTTGGCATGACTTAGGGCTTTTTCTCGATTAGACTAACCGATTGGAGCTTTCATTTAGTTCGCGCCTCTGATTGGTTGAAACGAATAAGTTGAAATTTGACGCACAATGTTGGTCTATATTACCGTCATTTATGCTAACGGGTTCATTGTCAATTGGAGTGAATTTGAGTTTAAGGCAAAGACAAAGGTTTATAAGAGGCGGAATTTCTTTCGTTTTTGTTTACTTGAGCCTCGGCTATTCCCATGCCATGTGGTGACCTTGAAATGTGGCTTGGGAAGAATTGATAGGAGGACTGCGCATTTCTTGTGAGTGCCTTTGTTTGTCATGCCAAAGGAGTAGTTTGCCCCATTTCTGATGGCGGGATATCTCGTGGATGCGCAGCTCAGGGCTCTTGGGTTCTGAATGCGCATTCAAGTTAGTGACTGAAGAACTCACATTTGTCTTCTTGATTGTTCGCACCACTCAGGTGGCTTAGCGTTAAGCTGAGCATTCTCTGCAAGTGTCCAATGCTCCTCTGTGTGAGCTTCATGTCTTTAGTGGGTAGTGGGTGGGGGGGGAGGGCGGGGGGGACAGTATTCAGGATGACTTCGACGTCATTGTCGCCCTTAACCGCGAAAGCCTGGCGGCAATGTCTTCTGCATCTGTTGCTTCTCAGTTGGTAATGGTCTTTGCTAGACGCAAATCTTTTATAAGCACAAAGCTTCGGCTGCTAGGCTCCTAGCGGTAACTAGTCTACCGTAGACACCAAAATTCATAACTGATGTGTAATTATGATGGTTGAAAATCCAGGAAAAATGGCAACCGTGTTCTGCAAACCAAGGACAATTGGCAACTGTTTCATCGTTTAAATGTCTCTCAGTCTGTTTGCAGCTTGTGGTTTGGCACAAAACATATCGAGCACATGAAGTACACCCGTCAAGTGCATGTGCTGTCA